TGACTTAAGCTTCGACTTGCCTCGGACGCTCCGTAGAAACTGGGCCGTGGAAACGGCTGTCGGTATGCAAGGTCTGTCAACTTGCCTGTCGCCTTCCACAGCACGTGCCGGGCTTGCTCTGAGCTGCCCGTCAGTGTGGTAGACCTCATCCGCTGTGTTCGAGTATACCGCCGGGCTGTAGATGCTGCGGGCTTTGCGGAACCACACATTCCTCGAATTTGTAGGGTACCATCAGTCGTGTCACGTCTCGCCGTGTAATCGATCGATGCGTACGTCAGTGTGTGTCGGTTCACTGTGAGATACCGTTGTTGTGTCTCTTCACACGGAAGTGATAGAAACGTCGTCTCTGCCGTATAAGTTCATGTAAATAAACGACCGTACCGAGTTATTTTGGAAATTTTTTACATTTCTAACATTTGAACCCGTTATGTTTTCACTGGAGTAGTAAAACACTTCTTGCTCTCTGAGTATGGTCAGACGAGAAGTCCAAGATTTCTCCTTGTAATCACAAACACGGAAAGGAGTTCCCTTTTCTTCCTCACTTCGTTTTTTCTTCTTCCTACTGTCCAGGGAGACATTGCCCAAAATCCGGTACGACGTCGTACCACGAACACCTGACAGGCGTACCGGGATGTATGCGACAATAGATTCCGTGTGTCTCGTGCTAAACAGGTTGGAATTGGTACTTGGTTGTCGAGTTACACAACGGGTGTTGTGTCGTTGACTACATTTTCATCTGGATAACTGCGTCCTGTAAGGAGTCCCCGGTGATTGCCTCAGTGAATTCCAGGGTCGCTGTTTCCAATGTATTGGACAATGCGGAAGGAGTTAACAATGGCAATTCAGTACCTCGGGGGTGAGCCCTCGGGACTGGGAGGGAAGAGGAACGGTCGGAAGGGTAGATTTTCGACCCCAGTCTCAATGTCCTCCGGTGCAATCACTCCCACTCGACGCTGCAGCGGGAAACGGAACTGAGGGACCCAAACAAACTATTAAGAAGGCAAATCAGAGATTTCATTTAACTCCAGCTCTCAACACAGGTTCGGGAAAGCCCCATGAGCTTCTCGCTGTAGAGTGAAAATGGAACGCACACGCTATTTGTTGTTTGTTTATATCACGCAGTCTGTCTTCCAGTTGTTGCCTCTTTTGAATGACGAATACACACTACCGACACCCACTGGTAAGGAGAGTTATTGCCACTCACGCATGCGCAGTTCGTAAGTGCAACTTGGCCGTCGGCTGAAGTCTTTGCGGTGTGTTCCAGTGCAAAACATGGCCAAGACGCAGGAGACGTGAGGCGACGCGTCCCGAATTCTTTGGTGTTCTTTGGTGTCAGTTTGGTGTGTAAGAGGCTTTATATGAACTGGATACTGGAACCCAAGATGTCCTGGGTTTAACTTCCTGGGGATGTTCATCACAGATTTTTTAATTGCTTTTCTTGGCTCTATGGAAACATTTTCCAAACATGCAGGCATTCAAAAATGTAAATAAAAAGGGTCCTAATTGACCTTGTTCACATGCTCCAATGTTTCCTGTTAGCAGTTTTATATATATTTCTTTGAAATGCTGGCGTATCGAGTCACAGGGGGATTATTCAACACCATGAGTGCCCAGTCCACTAGTCAAAATTGTAAACAAGTCCAACTGTAAAGCACACCCTCACTCTCCCCGAAGCTTAACACTAGCTCTGTTAGCACTGTTACAACTGTTTGCACTGTATCGCTGTTAGCAGCTCCGTTAGCTGCTAGCAGCTGGCTTAGCCATCACGATGTTGACAGCCATGAGGGGAATCCATCAATCATAGATATTCTTTGAGTTTTGTAACGAGATCATTTCAATAATAGGTCGACTGCTCTTCTCTGTTTTAAAGAAGAGTCCTGGGGTTTCAGGCTGTCATTCAAACAAAATGAGACATTTCAAGACCTCTAATCAACTCAATTATTCATATAAAACAATGAAATGAATTGTTAGTTGTAGCTCCAAAGGGCAATCAGGCAGTTATTTTCAGATACTGCTACAGAGTAGGCCTACAGCAATGCTATTATGGGAGGCTCACACTGTGTCACATGCTCTCATTAACACAAGGCTTAATCTCAGGCAGAAAACCACATCTTCCAGCAGAGGTGCCTTTATCGTCTGGAATTGACTCTCAGCTGGGGAAATATGCTTTGTGTGAGTGTGTGTGCTGCTCTGTTTGCTTGGGGTCATTCAAGGCCTCGGTCTTTCAAACAGCTTCAAAGTTTCAACGTTTTAGCATCAGCACTCTCTGAAACTTAGGTGACACATTTCCCATGGAGTCAGGTCATTGCCCATTCTGCTGCTAGCCCTAAATACCTACACTTTTCTTCATTGACTTTAAATAACAACAACAGAATGATCATCTTTCCTACACTGGATGTCCCCTTCAAAGCCTTCCACGTTTCTTCCGCCTTGCCACACATGCTGAGGAGCTGTCTAATGGGATGTTTTGAATTCTTCTTTGATGACATGTAGGTTCAATGAGCAGAGAAACAACTCTCCCACAGATAAGAAAACAAACAGGCTCTGCAGAAAGCCTCAAGGTCACCTTCACATTCATGGCTGAGAACGAGTGTGAGAAAAAGTCTTACCTGCTGTAGCACAGCCAAGCCCACATACAACAAACAATACAAAACATGCCTGCAATGTTTCTGAGCGCATGATTGTTCATGAGTTTTTGTTTGAGTGATGTATTTTGTTTTGTCTTTTTAGGATTACATTTTAGGGCTGTGGAAAACGTTGGGTTATAAAAATGAGGGTTTAAACGGTACAGTGAATGTTAAATTAAGTTAAGTAACAATGTTGGTGTCTCTTTGATTAAACTGACACTTTTGAACTCATTGCTTTCCCTATTCAGTTTAAGATTAGCTGGACTTTAGGACACACACATCTAAACTGATACATGAAACTATTATACTGCTGTACATTATAAGAAGATAAAGTGTGTAGTAGTTGACTACTATATCATGTTTAATAATTCATATAATTTCCAGTGTTGTAAAGTAACTAAGTATATTTATTCAAGTACTGTACTTAAGAAACAGGTTTAAAGGATTTGTAATGTTCTTCAGTGTTTTTTCAATTTTTTAGGTTTACTGTATACTTTTACTCCACTACATTCATGTGATACCTTTACTGTAGTTACTTGGCAGATTTGGATGAATGATTTGAAATATATTTCACACTTAAATAAGAATGTAGTTACACCTTTCACAAGCTATCCTAAAGCATCCAAAGTAATTGAAACTAGCTGCCCCTTGACAAGCTTTGATCACTTTAAAATTAATCAATGATTAAAATCAATCAATTTAAATAATTCTGATAAGGGCCAACTTTAAGTATATTCTGATGCTAATACATTTGTACTTTTACCTGAGTAACATTTTAAATGCAGGACTTTAACTTGTAACAGAGTATTACACTCTGATATTTCTACTTTTACTCAATTGCTGAACTGAGTACTTCTTCCACCTTTGATTATATTATTAGTCTTTATGCGAACTATTCAACTGAAACTAATGATAAAGGTCTTTGTTTATGTTTGTGTACCTGCACCGATAAGCTCCAGCCAATTGAACACACCACTTGCCAGCTGACTTGCACCTCCTCTCTTGTGCATTCATTGGCTCTTCGCTGCGGAGCGTCTTCGCAGGGGGCGGGCCCTGAGCAGGAGTTTATTGTTAGGAATGTGTAGTAGCACTCACAAAGTAATTTACCACACCGACTGTGCTGCACACTCCTGCAGGGCATCCTCCTCTTTTTTGGAGCGCGCGCACTGGATTATCTCCCGGTGGTTTCACACAGCTGCTGCTGGCTCTGATCGGCACTTTTATCATGCGAGTTTTCACTTGAGAAAATACTTTGTTGAGTGTTATTTCGTCGGCAGAAGATTGTTTCAGTTCACGCGCGACGTCAATGCTAGAATCAGCGAAGATGAGCAAAAACGGAATGTTGACAAAAATCCACACGAGGATAAGATCTGACCCCTTCACTGTCAATTATGAGCTGGTCGGCAAAGAACTGGGCAGGTGAGTTTCTTCGTTGATTTCCAGCATGCATTGGTGGAAATAATTGAATCTGTGTACTGACTTTGCTCATGTGCTGGCAGAATGGAGTTTGTGTCATTCTTGTTATTAGATGTGCCCATGCAATGGTAAGCGTGTTAATTTGACATTTCCAATCCTGCATTCTTTCCCGGAGAAAGGCTCAGATGGCACTTTGGCACGCTCAATGGTAATGCGTCTTTGTGCGAGTAAAGGAATAGTTTCAAGAGATTCAAAGGTTTGTTGTCATATGCACATAGGCTACAGTTTAGAAATGGCAATACAATTCTTCTGACCGTAGCTCCTCCAACAATGCAATATAGTTGGATACAATTTAAATTAAATAAAAAGTAATTTTTTTGTTTTGTAAGACAAATAGAGACTCCACACATCGTTCTTATATGTCTGCCATAAGTGGTGAACATATATCTTACTCTGAGTATCTAAACTCCATATAGGCTGTGTTATAGTATCTCTCTGCACACTTATGTGGTCTAGTACTGTATATCCCGTGTAGTGTATGAGGTGGTCAAAATGTAAACTTCTAAATGCCTTGAGCTGAATTTCAGTTTGGAATCCCTTTTTTAATGTATCACATACAGAGGTGACAAAGTGACAAATCATTCAACAATTAAAGAACAGCAAACACAAAGTTACCTTTACAAATATTGGATTCATTATGCATTTGTTGTCTAAATCAGAACTCATGTGCTTCTTTCATGGCACATACTTGTTTTTTTTATCAGGCTATCTAACATCAGAAACTTTTTTCTAACCTTCCTTAGCCAAGTGCATTTTATGGGTCACACTCACTGATGTGCACATTCCAGAAGTAGCCTATTTAAGCGGGGATTCCCCAGTGAGCCAGACAATAATGACTTTCCTCAAAAAGCATTCAGAATTAACACAAGGATCTGCAGTTGAGCCCCTGGGTTTCACTTAACCTCGACAGCTGTTTGATTGCACTCTGTGCTAAATCTGCATCTGTCTCCATAACTCTAATGTTCCCTGCAAGGTGATTTGCTCCTCTGCAGAGTGATGGGACAGCCTAAATAAAAGAGTCAGTTGGTAGCAGCCAGTTTCCCTTTTCGGACACCATGGGACTTCCTGGGACAGCAGCCAGGTCCTGTGGGGGGTGAGAGGGGCTCTATACGCCCCCTCTCCCTCTTCTCAACCTCATACCTCAACCGATCATCCTGTTTCCCTCTTCTTCCCAGGATTCCAACTTAACAACATCCTGAGAACAGGCCTCATAATCGCATTAAGTGCAGGAATGTATTCTTGCAGATCAGCTATGTAGTCCGTACATTAGGGGGGGAAGTTGACCATATTAGAAGCAGGAGGTGCATAAGTTGAATTATTCTGCCAAATGCCTCTTTAGCAATTAGACTCGTTGCCCTTATTTTTAAATCCTTTTCATCATGAAGCTTTACATCCTGAGTCCCCTGCAGAACTGTTCACAAAACATGCCATCAGAAAGAGGAACTCATGTTGTGTCTGTGAAAAAGGCAAATGAGAGCTGTCATTTCTCATCGCACTTCAGACATGAGTCAGTTTCCCGCTGGGGGAGACAAAATGCAGACTCCACAGGAAATCGACTTCTCAATCAAATTATCACCATCTCAAGTACTGGGGTAGTTTTGTGTGTCACGATTGATAACGGACAGGTTTCAGACAGATTTTATGAGACAAACCTGCAAATGAGCAGTTTGATCTGCATTGACGTCATGGTGGATCCAGATAGGATGTTTTCAGTCAGTGTTTCACAGCTAATTGGGTGTTTTTAATAGAGGAACACAAAATAAAAGCTCTGATGTTGGTGTCATGGCAGAGTTTGAACATAGCGGAAGATGGCCATGTTTGGTAACCTCTGACCTGTTGTCATCTTTTAAAAAGGCATCCCGTTGCTCTTTTACGTGGCCAGCGTTCATTCCTTTTCACACCATATGTAGTTCCCACCCCCAGCGAGCTGCTCTGAACTTGGCTAATTAAGGATGAAAAGGCTCTGACGTGCTTTGCCTTTTCACTCTGAACAATGAGTCGTCACCAGTCTGCGAGACTAGGGGGGAGAAACAGAAGGAACAGGCCTCTCTGTAGCCAAAACAGAACCGGTCTCTGGCCAGAACAGTTGCTGTTTTTGGTCCCGGCACAGTGGGCTTGGAGCAACGCTGTGTGGGAAAATAACAGGCACCACGCTGACTGGACTTTTCTGACTTCATTTACATTCTGCCCAGCTCACAGTCATCTTTTCCCAACCCATCGCAGCGGATCTCTATTGTGCAGCTGATTAAAACATTGAGATGTTAGTCGGACATAGACGCAGAAGCTACAGGCTCCGTTTTAGCATGCTGCTCAGGCTCCAACCTGACTGTAGCAGCAGTGACCCCCTCCGCCTGTCTGGTGGGTGGTCCTGCTGTATCAGCCGACTGGTCAGCTTTTGTACGATTGTCAAGGGGGACGCAGGCTCTGTCCGAGTGTCTGGGCGGAGGTGTCAACACAATCCCATTTGTCCCTGCTGCTGTCAGCTGTGAATAAAGGGAAGTGGACAAGCCTCATTATCAGCCTGGGAGGCACGGCTGGTGATTGTGACAAGAGAGGCAATTCTGCACACATCGGACATCCTCCCCACACCCACCGCTGACCCCTTAACGCCTCCTGGGAATCCATCAATGTATATGCTATGAAATGAATGGTAGTCATGAGGTCTTTAATCTCGTGTTTTACCAGGAACATCCAGCAACCGAGCCGTTGCATGTCTTTGTTTTTGCTTGACCTGACCCTTATCATGTCCCTGCCCACTATTTAGCAGCCCTTGCCAAAACTGTCAACCTTATCTGCCCCCTGTCAGAATCCCCTGAAGGCTAGAGGAAAAGGAGGAGAACGGGGGAAATCTCTAACGAAGGTTTTATGGCACCGCCTCCTGTATTTTCAAATGATGCAGATTAACCTTCTTATCTCTAAACTGTTCTTTAACCTCGCCTACAGTGCTGCACTCGTGGCCTGCTGGCGGGCTGTTCCACATGGCTTGCACTGTAATCTAGCTTTTACCTCATAGCACTTTAACTGTCATGAGTTTGTGCAGTAATTTTAGCCCTTCCATTCGCTGCATTTGCCTACATTTACTCTGTTGGTCGCATTGGCTACTTGGATGCAGAACAGAACCAGCGCAAAACCAAATATATTTGAAAGCCAATAATGTGGTTGTGATTATTCTGTCTCCTCACTAATCACTCTCTGCTCTCTCCCCTACTTTTTGTGTCCCAGGGGAAAGTTTGCGGTGGTAAAAAAGTGCATCGAGAAGGCAACGGGGAGGCAGTGCGCTGCCAAGTTCCTGCGAAAGCGACGGAAGGGCCAGGACTGCCGCATGGACATCTTGAACGAGATCGCCGTGCTGGAGTCGGCCAAGGCTAACCCCTACGTGGTGGCGCTGTATGAGGTCTACGAAACCAACAACGAAATCATCCTCGTTCTGGAGTGGTAAGAAAATGCAGTACACATTACAGAAACAGCACAAAGGTCACGGAATAAATAAGACCTCACATTTTAGCAGTTTTGTCTGACACTCATTTCCTTTTCCACCACCACTGATCTGAGAAAAAGTGATTTAAATGGCCTTTTAAACTTTCCTCACTTGTCTGTGTTTGAGCCATGCCAGGAAAACTGTGGATACAATGAAAAGGCCTTCAATCAATATGGCGAAGAAAATCCTTTAATCAAAACTTCCCAAATGGGCTCGTAGAAAACTCCCTCGCATATATATTCAGTTTTACTTACAGTAATAAGCAACAAACATTTTTAAGGTTAAAAAAACCCCACAACAACTCATTCACTCACGTCAAGCGACATCCTGTATTGCGCATGACGAGAATGCTTTGTTGTTTTCTTGTGAATTCTCAGCTTGTATCTATACGTCTCATCTGTGAAAAAATACTTCCTGGCTTGAGTTATGTGCCGGTTGCTGAGAGCACAGCTGCATGTCACTCACCTCAACAAAAAAAAAAAAAGTCCACATGTGTGAAATACATAGCAGTATTGCAGCAAAAGCCCAGCCTTAAATGGAAATACTCTCTGTCTGTGGTTAGCTGCTTGTCTCGTCATAGCCCCGACACCTCGGCTTCGTGTTATTGGAAATGGCTGTCAGGAACCGTAACTTTAAATACCTATGTGGCACTGTGTGAAAAAACAATAATGAGCGAGTGAGTTACACTCTATTGTGAGAACTTATTGCTCTCTATACTCATCATGCAGGTGAGGTACAGCTGAGAAGAGCTGCTGGTTCAACGACCCACTAAGGCCATCCCAGCCGTCTGGCTCTGGTCTGTTGTGGTTAGGTGTTAAATGACGTGGTGCATATCCACTAAGTGTTCTCTAATGACAACCTCTAATTAGGATCTGGAAAGGACACTTGGCATCTTAATTACCTCACTCGCCTCATTACAGGGAGATAACACGGGGCAATTATGCTTGAACCACGTTCCTCTGACCCTGTTCCTGAACTGCCTGCTGCTCGGGCAGGAAGCCCCCCCCCCTCCTTCTCAGTCCACAGTAGTTCCAGACATGGAATGCCTTCACAGAACAAAAGTCTCTCTGTAGGGGGGGAGTTTGACCTCTGACTGAAGTGTGAAAAGGGAAGTAGCACCACAGTTCACCCCTACATGCCTGCAGAGAAAACATAGCAGGGGGTCAGTCCACAGTGGTCCACAGTTCCTCTCGGCTTCCAACTGGTGCTGCGCGGGGAGATCGAGTGGCCTGTACATGCACAATATTTTAGCACTTAAAGAGCTTCGTTTTTAAAATGTCAGCTCATGCTTTTAAAAGCCTCAAAGCTGCACTCCGAGTGAGACCGTTAGCCACCGAAAAAGCTGCATCTTCAAACTGTCTGACCTCAGCCTAGGTTTCGAGAATTGTGACCCATTTTCCATTTCCTGTGGGTTTAAATGTAAGCAGCAAGCAGGGCTCCCAGTAGAACCACACACCTCCACACTGGTAAGAAGTGTCGTTCGCACACTCTTTTTGTATCCACAACCACATCCCTTATGTCAGAGAAATGGAGGCAAAAGATTTTATTGTAATCATCTTTGAAATCTCCAGCATATGTCATTACCACGGCAACCCCCAGCATAATGACTTTTAAAGATGGTTAAAAGAAAAAGAAGCATTACTTTTGGGTGCAGAGTAGCTATGCTTGCCAGATAATGAATCGCTCTGACTATAATCGAGGACGAATGGTCATCTCCTGGTTAAATGTACTCTTTAAAAAAAGTTATGAACCCATAACAACTCTAAAAAATGCAGGCCTTTGTTTAAGTTAACTGCCAGAAGGTGTGCACTGTTATTAATTTAAGACAGTCTTTATCACGATTTAACATCCTCTCAGGCGCTCTGCTGACAGCTTAATGTAGCTGCTGGAACACTTTGTCATGTCAAGTATTTAATTGTTCAGACAGGCACGGTAAAAGTCCAAGTTCATTTGCACCATGAGGTTTTTCAAGAAAGTAAAAATTGTCCGTCAAACCCTACTTCCCTGTCTTTAATTTCCTCTTTCTCGAGAACACTAGACATGCTTTCATTTAATATACACGTGCAAATCAATGTAAACAGACTAAGTGCAGTTTCATTCCAAGTCTCCACATGCTCTCATGTGTTCAACAAGCGGGTTATGTGGCAGGTCAAATATTCGGTGCTGGTAGCAAAAAAAGACCAATGACGGATATCCTCAAAAATCCCCTAAAACATGGGTGCTATTTTCACAGCTGAGGATAGTAAAGAGTTCAGGGATGGAAAGCTAAGAGGAGATTGGGGGCGGCGCTGGTTATGTAACAGTTCTGCTAAGGGCCCGGTCACAAAGTCTACCTTTGAAAATAAAATGCATACCTGCCATTTAAATCTCCTGCACATGGCTTTAATTATTTTGGATAAGATGCTTCAGGCATTGATCTGACTGAGGGAGCGTCCATCGTAAATCAACCATGTCTCAACTTTATTTAACGTTGTTACAAAACTGAACAAGTCCAGACCAGAGTCTGACTATTCCATATTGAGATGTTGAATAAGAAATTCCTAAAAAAGTTTAATCCTTTTAACTGTGAGTTGTTTTGACCCAACAAGCAACAAGCAACAAGCTGAGGCCTGTATCCAGATACTTACCTGACACTACCTTCCTGCAGCCTTCTCTGGATAATTTATGTAAAATGTGTAGGCTTTGCTGATATCCATAGTGTTTGCCTCTTTTCCCCCTGTGTTGCTTCAGTAAGTGAACCTGCAGGCTGTATAAGGCCTTATCTGACTGTGCTGTAAGCTTATACGGCCATTCTTATCTCCAGTAATAGTCCTGGGAACGGGAAAGTACATGCAGAGACGGGAACCTGAAATGATATTGATTAATGTTGGACTCACATGCTGTCTGTAGATGTGGATAGACTTTGGTCTTCCAAGCCAAAGTACACTAATGAGGACGAGGGTGTTTCGTAATTTTTTCACGAAGACATGAAAAATGACTTTGGGTTTGTTTACTAAAATTCCACTAATGGGACATGTTGGAATTTGCTATTATCCCCTTGTGTGATTTAAAGTGAAAGGAAGGGTGTATTTGTGCATTTTAAGGCTTAATTTATTATGACAAGTTGAAGTGAATAATACAAAAATTAAATATAATCCAAACTAAACTCCACACAGTTCTTTTTCATTTTATCGTTGTTTTGTTTTACTCAGTGTTCCTTCCTGTGCTTTCCTTCCAGCGCTGCCGGTGGGGAAATCTTTGACCAATGTGTTGCCGATAACGACGACGCCTTCACGGAGAACGATGTGATCCGGCTGGCCAAGCAGATCCTGAATGGAGTGGCCTTCCTGCATCGGAACAATGTGGTGCATCTGGATCTGAAGGTGAGCATACTGAAAGATGATATATCTATATAGGACCGTGCATTCCCTCGAGGGACAGGCCGAGGGAGATATCATTTCTATTATGCAACCGCAGCTCATTCAGGGAGTCACGACCCTGTTCCCACGAGGAGTCACACGTTACAGGATAGACATGGCAGTCATCATTGAGGTTATCTTTCTACCTACACATCTGATAGATTAACCAAGTATCCATTTCTTATAACACATGTTATTCAACTCATTTTAAGGTGAATAGCCTGGTCTGACCCAGAATTAAAGTTACAATAGTAAAGATATCGGTTTTCTTTACTTTGGTGGCCCCTTTGACAATAAGTGGTAATTGCAAGTAAAAAAAAATCTATATTCCCTTAGATGGTAATAGAATGGTGTTACCTCATTGGTGTTGCCTCATTTGGCAATAAGAGTGGGACCTTTTTTAAAAGAAATACAAATCTTCCTTCTTTCATCCTTTCTTTCTGTGTGTACTTTCACCAATGCCAGTGGTTGGCACGTACAGTGGGGCAAAAAAGTATTTAGTCAGCCACCAATTGTGCAAGTTCTCCCACTTAAAAAGATGAGAGGCCTGTAATTTTCATNTTTTTTTTTCTCATTTTGTCTCTCATAGTTGAGGTATACCTAGGATGAAAATTACAGGCCTCTCATCTTTTTAAGTGGGAGAACTTGCACAATTGGTGGCTGACTAAATACTTTTTTGCCACACTGTATATCCTACTTGTTCTTGATTGGCTTATGATCCCACCGATGTAGCTGCATACTTACTGATGTGCCAGACCCCAAATCCTACTTGAACCTGGATTTGTTTTGACTGATTCACCCTGCCATATCATTAATGACCTCAGACGTCAGACCTCAGGCTTCTTTAATAACCATTATGTCTCTGTCTACCCTCTGCAGCCCCAGAATATTTTGCTGACCTGTGCCAGACCTCTGGGAGACATTCGCATCGTGGACTTTGGCTTGTCCAGATGCATGGACAAAATCACAGAAGTCCGGGAGATCCTGGGCACACCCGAGTATGTTGGTGAGTTCTGCTTTAAGCCCCTTTTTAAATACCCAGAATCACCTGTGTCTTCTCCAAGTGAGGGCGATTTATCATGACTAATTGGGGCCATGTGTTTTTGTTTGAGCAGCACCAGAGATCCTGAACTATGAACCCATTAGCACTGCGACAGACATGTGGTAAGTGTCTACTGTAGTTAATTTAAACATGTAAGTGCAGATGTCAGTCTGTTTTACTTCTGAGGATAAAGACATATTCAGGACGATCATCATCTACACGACATGCAAAAGACAAGTCTAGACCTTAGACCACAACACCGTCTTTGCTACATACTTACAGTTAATTCATTATTTACCGCAGCACAGTGGAAGACAGCCAAACATGTTTTTTTTTACAGTCTGTCGCAAAACAGATTATGTAACTATCCAAGATGACAAATTGCCTAATAACCTCCTTCCTTTTTCTTCCTCCCTCTCTGCTAGGAGTATCGGGGTCCTGACCTATGTCATGCTGACGGGCGAGTCTCCTTTTTTGGGCGAAGAAAAGCATGAGACATTCCTCAACATCTCCCAAGTCAACGTCGACTACTCGCAGGACACGTTTGATGGGATCTCGTCCCAATCGGTTGACTTCATCAAGTCCTTGTTAGTTAAAAACCCAAGGTGAGTTGACTTCAAAGCTGTTCTGAGAATGGCTAAACCATAAGAAGTTTCCATCAGCATCACTTTGAACTTATTAACACACCAGTCAGGTTCACAGCAGCACAAAGGAAGTACATCCGCATGAGCAATGGGTGTATGTGGTAACAAGATTTGTGTCACTTTGGCGATAAGTGACACGAATCTTGTTACCACATTTGCAAAACTGACATCATTTAAAGAGCTCGGATCTTTGTATTTTGACATGACAAAAACCGCAAATGAATCATCTTTGTGTGTCAGATAAATTTCAAGTGAAGCTATGTTACTTTATTTCCGCTGAAATGAACTCTAATTTTAATTCTGATTGAGAGCTCAAACACTGAGCCTGTACTTAATCGCCCCAATATGTTGATGAGAAGTAGCAGCAGCCTCTGTCTCACATCCAAAACCATAATCTCCAGTCAGTATCGTTCAACTCCAGCGGATTACTGGTAGCATTGGAAAAAGTGAGAGATTCTTCAGTGTTTGAGTAATCGGTGAGAAATGGATGGAAAACATCTTGAGTGCAAAAAGTGCTTTTCTTTGTGGTTTTCCGAAACCAAATTTTGCAAAAAAAATATGGCCGACGTTGGAAGATCCAGGGGGATCCATTGGTTATGTAAACTACTCGGGAATTTCCACTCATCCGCAGTGTTTTTGTGTTTGTGTGTGCAGGAAGAGAGCCACAGCAGAAGAATGCCTCACCCACCCCTGGCTGAACTCGCTCCCCCTTCCCCACTCCCACCCGCACATCAGCACCAGGCCGGCCTCCTCCCTGGACGAGCCGGAGACGTGCCAATCAGAGTCGGAGCCCGAGAGCCCGAATCCCTCTCCCGAGCTGGACTTGATCGGGTCGTACCTCGTGTGCCCGGGTCAGGGTGGGCTCAAGGCGGGCCGCAACGCCTTCTCCTTCAGCGATCCCCCCTTTCCAACACGGTCTGAGATAAAGCACGAGCTGATCTGCTGAGCGTCGTTTTGCAGGTGGAGAGAGACTGAGGGAATTGAAACTCCGCGGGGCAGACGCTGCAGCTTTTTGGTCCTGATCTGACTCGAGGCCATGCTATATGGATGCTGTATGACTGCTTGTACTGCTGTGAGCTGGGTTGTGTGTGTGTAGTTTAATACCTCTGCATGTGTTTGAGTAATACACGCTTCCCCGTGCTGATTCATGATTGTACGGAAGGAATGTGAGAGGAATAAGGATGCAGGAGCAAGGAGTGGGAGAAGACACGCAAGGATTTGGTGTCAAGGCTGCACTGCTGCCTTTTTAAAGTGACAGCTTATCACTGTGGCTATTTCACCCTGCACGCACACTGGCTTCTCTTTTTACCCAATTAGCCTTTTGAACTGGGTCTCCAAGGACAGGCATCTTTGGGAAATGACTTCACTCACTGTGTGCTCTCATCAAAACAAGTTATGCTTCAGCTGACCCAGACGTACCTTCTGTGATGAGTTTTGTTCAAGGAGGTAAAGGGTTTTGACAGATTGTTGTACTTAACAAAGGAATTAAAGGACAGCATCAACGATGAAGCCAGACTGTTCTACTGTTGTATGTGTTTATTTATGTGTGTTCGTTGTTCCACTTCACCCCCTTGAACACAAAAAGCCACATCAATGCCTGAGTTTAGGATGGAAATAGTAGCATCTTTTTTTTTTTTTAAAGGACAATCTGAAGCACTTTTTATTTTGTTATTAGAGTTCAATGTTATATTAAGCAACCAAAGGCTATTCAAGCACAGTCACCTGTCACAATGTGTTCACCATTTTCCAACACCCACTGGTTTTGTCACATTATGTTTATTCACAAAGTGCCACTTTTGTGTTAACATTACAGTTTTACTTTTTTTTGGTTTGGTTGGCTATTGCCCAAGTTGCACAAGTTTTTTTTTGTACTTAACTGCGAGGTAGACACACGATTTCAGGCTCTTAATATATTGTTTGGACATCAGTCTCAGAAAGTGGGAATGGCGGGGGTAGAAAGCAACAGATAATGTTGTAATTATAATTGATGAACAATGACATGGTCAACTGAAGATTTATATAAATAAGTGACATTTGCCTTCAGATGCTCGGGAGTGTAGAAATTGGGGAAGTATTTCTCCAAAAAGTACTGAAATGTATATTGTGAGTTAGTATTAAGTTTAATCTGTAAAATAATTACTTTTTTTTTTTTACCAGTGTTTGTTAACATCATATTGTCTTATTCACTATGTCAACTTTTACTTATTCTTATTGTTTCTGCTCGTGAATTTCAGGCAGGTTTGCACTTGTCCTTTTGGACGCTATGTCAAAATGAATAAATGTTGATGGCATGCATTGCAAAATGTAACAAAAACAGACTCCAGGTTAGTTTTTATTGACAAATAAATAGCTTGCATGTAAAATAAGAAAATGACCAATTGAATGTTTAACCATTTATTTACTTGCATGGGTATACAGTAGAGATGCAATGGTTGTCAACCGCTTGAATTATCTGGACACAGTACTGCTTGATTTTATACTTTTGGTCTTAAGCATTGCACGACTGATATTATCAGTGGATGTTTAGCTTACGATGTCCGTGTGCACTTTAGTGGCGCTCAATGGCATTAAACAAAGAGAACTTAGTATACTTTAGGATAGTGGTTGCCAACTTTTCTGAGCTTTTGACCTTAAAGGTATCTACCAACAACCTCCCACCATCATACATTTATGACTGGCTAATCCTATATAAATACTCTGTTTTATATGGATTGTTTTTAGAGGCTTTTCTTGAACTAGTGTTTCATAATAAAAAGCATCAAGAGAGAAAAGTCAGACTTGCTAGTGTTACCTTTTGTACTATCTTATCCACCACATATAACCATCCATCAATCGACCACCATAAACTCTATCCCATTATACTGCTGATGAAAACCATTAGGTTTAAATGTTGGTCTGGTGTTGATAGTTGTGTTTAGTCGGGAGTAAAGGCAGACCCCATACCACAACAGATTACTGGTGTTTGGAACCGATCACATGTTCAGCATCTGCTTTTCCTCTCAGCATGTCAGCATTTAGAGAAACTGAGTATCATTAAGAAAATAAAAGACCTCTCTCGGGCAAGTCTTCCATAAATATCCACCAGACTCACTGAACAGGACATGCCAGTATCCTGAATAGGAACAGGGGGTAATGATTTCCACTGTAGTTGAGTCTCTTTCTCTCGTGCACACACTCAGGATTGTTTACTCGTGTCGGGGTGGGCACTGAGCCAGCTGAGGAGAAAGCGGGGCTCCCTGCAGGGTCCTGCTCCGGTGGCTCTCGTACGTACTGACTACTTCCCCTAAAGAAAATCTTCCTGCTGCATGGAGCTGAGGAATGCCAGAAATGTTCAGATCTGGCCTCCTTCCTTTTTTCAACCCCGTCCTTTAAGCCTCTCTTACCTCCTTATGGTCTTTTGTTTGCCTCAGTGGGAGGTGGGATTGTTTCCACACACACGCAAACATGATATGAAGTTATTGAAGTGGCTGATAAAGGGTCTGTTTCTCAGAAGGATTCTCAGGGTTTGTTGATGTGACTTTGATATTTAAGGTGACCATTAGTGGATGATTTGGGGCCGTTTGTAAAAGAGCACTTGGCTCATTCAGATCCAAACAAATAGAAAAAGCAATCAAAAACATTACTGTGGCATCCAGATAACCTGCTCTCAACAATCCCTGTGGATGAAACGTAATATTTTTTAAGGTTATCTGGCAAGGAATCATGCTTTAAAAGAACCAAGTAAGACACATTACTTTGTTAAGTCCATTTGTCTCTCTTGAGTCAATGTAAGAACAGTCAAAACAGTGTCACGCCCTGGCTCAAGGACGGACAAAGGAAGGAGACCACACATGATTCATCCAATTGAAGTGCATTTATTTAAAGAAACTAAATTAACTATGAAGTCACTTAATCAGTAATGTGGGTGTGTGAACATGCATCAGTATATAAAGAAAAACATACAAACCAAGGTCCAGTAGAGCCAAGCAACCCAAGAGGAGAGAGAGACTGACTGCTCAGGCACCCATACTTGTAGCTGAGCAGTCAACCCAAATCAGGTGTCAGCAATCTCTCCTGATTTGGGGAGTGGCTAACCAGGGACCTGAGTCTAAGGCCTAGGGGCCGTCACACCTCCCCCCTTAAGAATGAGGTAGCACCTCAGATCCTGAAACAAAACAAGAACATTAGACACAACATTTTCTTCCAATTCATAAATCCGAGTAACACGTTTCAGAGCACATAAAAACTGCATTATAAGCCTATCAAAAGTGATACTAGGCAAAGAAGGAACTATGACAAAAAGTACATGAGGTGACTACCGAAATTTGCACAAAACCCGCAATCATTACAGCCTAACCCCAGGAAAAGCAACTACTGCTGCTTAGTGGACGAAACAGGGAATGCCTGTACGGCCAAAACTTCAAGAAGAATGGGACGAAGCTCCCCTTGCCTGCCCCATCTTACCCAAAGAGGTTACTGTAGCTCTCTTTCACATACTTCCGTGTGTTACAAATGTTGCACTCTGACCTTCTAGCCCAATTGACATTGCCACATGTTTTGCACTTCCAATCATTTACACTGAAGAGACCCCTGCTCTTCCCAGCCAGAGTTTTCCAACTATCTGTTCCTCCAGCTTGGTTTTCTTCCTGCCACATCTGTAACAAGTGATTCTTCTAGAAAAGTTCATCATTCCACACTTATCCGGACAAAACCAGTCCTCGCCTCTAACTTGAAAACTCTTTCCTGCAATGTTTATTTTGTTACCCCTGAATGGCTTTGCATGATCTGGCCAAACACGACCACCTGCCAGGTCATTTCCCAAAATGATGTCCACTCCAGTCACGGGCAACTCTGGACGAACACCAACCTCCATTTCTCTCTGGACTAAATCACAGGACAGAAACAGTTTATGCTCAGGCACAGAAATGGTTTGCAAACCAATCCCTCTAACTGGATCATCAACTCAACTCATANATGATGTCCACTCCAGTCACGGGCAACTCTGGACGAACACCAACCTCCACTTCTCTCTGGACCAAATCACAGGACAGAAACAGTTTATGCTCAGGCACAGAAATGGTTTGCAGACCAATCCCATGTGCTCTGTGACCACATGTCTGAATCTAGAGAAAAAGGCAAGATGGCCTCCCTCAGTCCCTCAAAATCCTGACTTGAACTGTCTTGTCACTCCCAACTAGAGTTACAAAACCGTCAGACACAAACGAAGCATAACCCGACTCAACCTCTGAGATATCAATTGCCTTACCCTGCATTTGCAATGGAGCCAAGACTTCTGTTTCACCAACTTTGGGATTATGAATAGTTGTAGCCAAACCAACTGACTTCACATGAAAATTGTTGCTTTTCCCCTCTAGCAAAGGACATTCTTTTTTCCAATGACCCTGTTGATGGCAATAATGACACACATTTGCATTGCTTGTGCCATTAGGATGCTGTGCAAACTTTAGGGACAAAGATCCTGCTTTCTGAGATTCATTCCTATCATAACGCTCACCAAAGATACGCCTGTGCGTCAACACATACTCATCAGCCAGTACTGCTGCCTCCCTAGGACATCTGACTTTATGTTCATTAATATGCAATGTTCTCAGGGACAGACTGTTTCAACTGCTCCGGAATGATTAAATCACATAACTGATCCAATGTTTTTACACCAGAAGAAGAGTACCAGCGCTTGAAATGCAAGATCAAATCCCGTGCAAATTCCACATGTGTTTTGTTACCACTCTTTCGCCAGTCTCTAAAACGTTGGCGGTACGCTTCAGGCACCAACTCATAAGCCTTCAAAACAGACGATTTCACCGCATCATAATCTTTACAGGCGCAGAAGATAAAGCAGAGTAAGGCTTCTTGTGGCTTTACGATGTAAATCACAGCACTGGCAAAAAGTTCTGTCCCATCGAGGGGCCTCGAATTATAACGTGGCGTAGGATTCACTGTGCGAAGGTGCTTAGCGTAGTAGAAATGCCAAAAAACAGGTACACGAGAAATCTTGCAGAGCATATTTCCGAATTCAGCCAAACATTGCGTAAGGTTGAGGAAGTGCGTGACAGCACCTAGCCCGTTTCCCTTTATAAAATCAGCAATCGACGCTCGAATGCCAGTGCATCTTTTGGCGGGCTCACGTAACGCCCATATTTCATATTTGCCTATACAATAGTCAAAAGAAACGCCCTTCATTCATTCATTTTGAACGACTGCATGGAGAGATCGCAGGAAGTGACGAGCAAAAACAGCTGAAAAAAATACATGCTCAGCGACCGTGTCAGATTTTGTTATCTTCTGGGAAGGTCGAGATAAATCCATATTGTTTGTGGTTGCAGTTTGAACCAGAGTAGGCAGGCATGGAGGTCGATCGTGCAGCCAAAAATAAATAAATAAGGTGTTCCGAAAAAGGTTAAGACAGAAAATAAATAACACATGGCCTTCTCAGCGCAGTGTGTTTGTACCCCG